TAATCGCACCCCCCCCACCCCCAACCAATGTCCCAATCGAAAAACACAAAATGCTCAACTCTGCGGAACATTGTTCTTTAAACAAGGAGCAGAATTCACCTCAAATGTGTGATCATTATTATCCCTAGGGAGGAAGAATACTTACAACAGTACACAAAAAACGCCAAACAATTAACTGGCCCCCTGCTGTATCTCCTACACAGCAGTTACTACCCCCAGTAAACACGGAGCATTATGGAGCCCGTGCCTCTCTATGCTGGCCAAACGTAGCCGGTGTCTCTCCAGGAGTGGTGGTTTGGAATCAGGAGCTAAACAAGCAAAGACAGAAGTAGTAAGAGAAGACTCGCGGCCTCTCTCTCTCCAAGCGGCGAGCTTGAAGGGCTCAATCCACTCAATGACAAGCGACACGCGAGTCAGTGCCTACGCTGAGCTCAGCGGATATTTCGGTCCGACAAAATATAGCTGAGAAAAAGACCCTCAGTGACATCACTGGCCAAGAGGCCACCTTTGACGGGAGGCGTGGGAAGCAGCAGACCACATGCGCGCATGTCCCGTACCAGGTCTGTTTCACAGGCAAAGACAGAGATCCCCCCCGTGTAGCCTTCACAGGCTCTTGGGGCGAGTGTTGTGAGCGAGTAGCACCTATGAAGGCCGGCACGGCGCAGGAAGGGGTGGGGGTGGCCAGCATCATTCCTGGTCGCCTTTGTCTCCCCAGTGGTGATGTTTTACACACCGCACCAGGTACTCGTGATGCTGAAGGCCCACCTTCACAAACACCTCTGAAACATGCGTATTGCTGAAATTCTCCGTAGGCCCATTATGCAATTCATCACCTTTCTATGAGACTCACCCCTTTAAAAACCGCATCGCTGATAGAGCCGTGCTCAACAGGATCAGGACTGACTCGTCTGTTTTGCCTCGAGCAGAGGGCTGGAAATGCTGAAGAGAGCTCCGTAAAAAGGGTTGTCTGGTCGTCTTTGCAAAGGAATCGCGAGACTTATTAAATGTCGGGCCAAGCTTAAGGGTTGCCACCCGGGGACAGGCGCCGCACGCTTGCTTCCGCGAGCGCTGCTCGACCCACGAAGCAACAAGCACGCGGCAACAGCTCATTCATCAGCGGGAGTGCCCGGGCACGTGGTACCGCACTCCCAATGCCAAACGCGCGGACCAATCGCGCGCAAGCCGCCCGCCGAAGTGCGCTTGATACCAACATACGTCGGCGGTGCACCCGCTCGCTCTCCAGGTGAAGCGAAAGTGTTCGCAGGCTGATAAATGAATTCCGTTTTTTCAGAGGAATTTTATATCCACAACTTGCCGAGCTGGAGCGCGTTCGCCGCCTGTCCCGGATGCATGCGGTCCGAGCCCAGCGGACACCCTGGTTAACACCCCGGGTGAATTAACCATAAATGCTGCAATGTAGTGGACGTAAAGTTTCGGTCTTGCAATTACATTTGAACAGAAATTTGCAAAATGTCAAAATTACGTGCCAAACTCCCTAAGGTCACTAATTTGGTAAAACCACATTGCAACATCGCCTCCTACTGTGAAACTACTATAAGCTATACCCGTCTGTGAAGCGTAGTGCCTTCGTGAAAACCCTGCACTATAACAATGGCGCGAAGAACAAATATGTACTCGTGATTATTCTTCCATGAATTTAAAACATCTTGTGCGGCACTGCCATTGACCAAATGCACCAAAGTCCCAACACATACACACCATGCGTGATAAAATCCGGATTTTGTATGCCGTAGGCAAAGGGGATACACGCTCCCACAACCCAATCCCCCCCCCAAGCCCCTCACCCCACTGCTGTGGGGATGGCCCATAACTCAAGACATCACATATGAATCCCAAATGACATATAGCCTACACAGACTGTTGGGAAAAGTGATATTAAAGAGCACCTATGAAGGCCAATACAACGCACGAGTCGGTGAGTGGTCAGCACCACGCCCGGCCACCTTTGTCTCCCCAGTGCTGATGTATTTTACACACCGCACCAGAAACCCACGAAAGGCTGAGTCGACCCAGGGAAGGCCCGGGACCAGTTCAGCTATTCGTCAATGGTGTTGGCCGTGATCGGGAACCGAACTCAAAGTTGCGCAGCGCGCTAACCGCTACACCCGTCGCTCCCCAAGCGCGCGCACGCAACACACGCACACGTGCCGTGTTTATGATGATGGAGCGAGGTTGCGGTCTGGCTTTCTGTAGTTTATATCTATGCAGTGCCTAGGCTATAGCTCAGAAAACCAACAAACCGTGACACAAAGCAAACAAGGGCGTTGATTATACGAGTAATCAACTAACACATGGTGATAACGTCATTCATCCAGCAAAAGATCAGTCCCAAAAAAAAAATTCAAGAGGGTGATGCATTGGGGATGTCGAGCCAATTCTCATGCAAGTGAATCGAAGTAAACGGTCAAATTGGAGCCCTGCAATAGGCCAACTGTCTTGCAAGAGGGTATTTGACCTCCTCTTTCACACTGGCAATATGTATTGGAAGAGGTAGAAGTACCAACATTTACGCCACCACACGCCAACTACCGATGGACTGACTCACTGATTCTCAAGATGCAGAGGTTGTAACAATCAAAGCTTTGCGCAGATGGATTAAAACATCAATTGCTGTACTACTTCCTCTCCATATTGCAGTCCAAGCACACACCACCCTCGTATTTCCAGGCCATCACCTATTCAAGTACCAACCAAAGCCCAAACCTGCTTAGCTTCTAAAATCTGACAAGGAGGAGCATGTTTATAATTACTTGGTAGTTAGGCCAATCATAGTGTATAAACATTACAATCATAATCTCTGTGCAGGCACGCGAGTTGAAATACATCTGCTGTAATTTCCGCTTTTTTTGTTTTCTCCATAAATATTTTTGCCATTAGATGTTGATGCACGGTGTTATATAAATTACAAATATTAAAAATCACTCCATGAACCCAACATCGGCATGCTACTCTCACACCCCGCCTTGATGTCGTTTCATCTTGGATTGGTTCAAACTACTCTAGCTAAATATTGCCAAAACAGAATTCCTTATTGGCAAAACAGGCACTCAGACGATTATTCAAACAAATAACCTGACACCAATCTCCTGCCTGGATCCCTGTTCTGACGAACATTCTGTCACCAAATATCCGCAGAGACACGCAAACTGCAAAAGGGAGTTCACATGTTTTCTTGCCAACGACAACCACCTACCCATCATCAATTAAGACCTCAAGAATGTACCTCCCCCGCTCACTCAAGTTCTGATCCCCCTTCTGGGATCGCGCTGCCACCATCCTAGAATCTCACCCAGAATCGGAAGAATGCCGGCAAATAGAATGGAACAAACGTGGACGTCCACAAACACCTCAATCGAAACCCAAACATCCCACTCCTCCTGGCTTTGACATTATTCCTAGATGACGCTGGAGCAACCATCAACCGCATAAGAACATAAATAGGCCAACGTGCACATCTTCTTCATCAATGTAAAATTTGGACACTCCTACCTCTCTCTCTCCTCTCATCTGACTCAACTCCCTTCCACACGCTCTTCATTCCTCCACCCACTCATCTCCCTCTCTCGTCCAGGAGTCGGCAACAAAGATCAGCAATGCATGTGAATACGAGACGGTCCTTAAAGAGTCACATGTGGCTCAAAAGCCGCATGTTGCCAAACCCTGCTCTCCATTCCCTTCTACGTATTGTCCGTCCAGCAACTCAGGGCTTTCTAACGAAACCTTTGCTCAGAGGGAGGTCGCTCATTCTCTTTTGCTGCCCCCATAAGCTGGAACTCACTTTCTCCAGCCATCTGTGCCGTTGGCTCCCTGCTGTGATTCAGGTCTGGGCTAAAGACATTCCTTTCTCCTCACGCCTTTGACTGACTGCCTCTATTCAATAAATGCCCACCGTTCCTCTGCAGCATCTCAAGATATGGTCACATTTATAAGTTGCACAAATCCAAATTGTATCGTATTACAATGTATGGCCCTTTGTCAATCCTCTGCGAGATTAAGGTTTCCCTATGCCTTGTTGGTTACGGGGGTTGTTTGACCTTACTTCACCATGCTGGTTAGTGCGGGTAAAGAGGGCGCCCAGGAGGTCAGATATCACGTGCCAGTAACGTTAGCCGTGGTTAGGAATGAACGGAGCTCGCAGAGTTCATTGCACAGTGCGCGCCAACACAACGTGCCACCGCTCTGTTCCAAACTGTATTAAATATCAGTCAAGATAGAACAAAATAGCCGGATTAAACAAACTAAAAATTATCTCCAAAGACGCAAGTCCTCCCGGAAACTTCAGCCTCATTAACGTATTCTCTGGTTTGTAAGTCACGCTTTAAGTCTCTGTATTTTAAAGCAAAGGTCGCGGGTGCAACTTTTAAGCCATGTAACACGCAGTCTTCCGGAAGCTTTAATCAAGGTGTTCAAATTACTTTTCTGGAACACGGTTCCTTCATAGCATAGCGATACGTGACCACCTAGATGACGGAAGAAGCCAACGGCCGTCCAGAATCATCTACCAGAAGACATATCTGCCCCAAATAAAAGCGGCATATTCATAAATCATGTTCCAGAAAACTGCTCTCCAAAGCAATACTGTATTCTCCCGATTAAAAGATAGTATTTGGTGGTATCCACAGGCGTATGCAGCCAACCGTGCTACTTGAAAGGTGTGGGTGAAGAATTAAACACAAAAAGCAGTTCTAATCAAAGGTGCGGGGGAAGGACAACAAAACGTAAAACGTAGTTCTAAAGAAATAAGTTACCTTTGTAATTCGGAGAAGACGGTATATGCATATACACACGTAAATCATGTCCCATTGTAAGGTAGTGTTCATTTACGAATGTGGCGAGCGTATTCATGCTTAAAACTCCAAGGGTAAGTTACGTCAACCCGCTTTGCGCACGCGGAGCGCCCACGGGTCACAGCAAAGGCACGCGCGCAGAGGGGTCGGGGGGGGGGCTGACTGACGAGGACCAGCCACCCCAACTCTCACCTGCGAGCAGCGTCAGCCAGTCGCGCTTGTGAGCCGCACGCAACCTGCCTGGTCCTGCTCGTCTCCCGCACAGCTCCGGCCTCTGCAACCACAGACTGGAACAAAAAAAAAGCTTCATTTCTGATTGCGTTTAACCGAGAGCGTGTGCGTTTTTTTTTTAACCAGATCCTATCCAACTCGTAACGTTTTACTGTCGTGCGCGTGCTGGGTCACAGTGGCAAAGCCTGCGCGATAATTAAGGAGTTTTATCCAGAAATGTTCGATGTAACTCGTTGAACCTGTACAGCGTGCAGAGGAGATGATTCTCATAATATTAAGACGTGATATAAATCCAGTTGTTATTTATCACCGAACTGCACCTGTAGAGTCAAGGTTCAGCTCCGCAATTTCTTGCTCGTGCCACTGCTGGTTACCGAGAGCTCCCTGGTGGAAGCCATTGTGGCCTACTCTTCCACCACGTCCAGACGTACTGGATGTCCCGACACTTTCTCACTCGCGCAAATTACCAGATCTCATACCTCCATCTCCGGCTGTTACCGATTTACCCACCACATCGCCGGGTGGCATATCTTCGGCTGGCATATGCCAGTAATCCAGCACACCGTGAAGAAAACGCTTGGATAGCAGAGATTCGCGGCACTCCCAAACCTGCTGGGCCACGAGGTGGTAAGTACATTGCAGTACAGCAAATGGGTTCATCAATTTGTTTGCGTCGGGCCGAGAAGTAATGTCCCCTCGGATACGCGGTGGGGTTTCTCCGGGTGTTACCGGACTCCTCTCTCAAGACACTAAACACTCGTTTAAAGGAATCGGGCCAAACATCCTAGGGCAAGGGTCCTCCTGGCAAACAGTCTTGGGACTCGGCAAGGCCTTCCTGGGTAAGTAAATGTTATTATTATTCAACTTATTATCAGTAGGTTTCCCAGGGGTGAAAGGCAATGGAGGGTCACACAAAAAAATGTAACTGGTATTGCGTTTAAGTTTGTTGCCCTTCCCCTGCACCTCCGATAAGCAAGGTTGCCTACGTAGGGTGCGAAAGAAGTTCAACAAACATCGAACAAACATTCCATAGCTGCAAAATCACACGTTTGGGTTTACAAACTGGAAAAATCGCTCCCCCCTACTGCGAAACACATAAGCCATTTTGTTGAGCTATAATGTGTGGGCCAGGTCGCTTCTAAAGAAGAGCTATTATGAGCTCAATGGGTCTTACCATGGCAGGACCCTCCTGAAAAATAATCTCGCAATTCCGTGAGGCTCCGCCTGCAAGTTGCCGCGACAGTCATTTTTGTTTACGATACGATATTAACTTTCATAGTGACGATTACCACGTTAGTTTCCCATTACGATTGCAAATGCGTTTTTGCAAAACTTTGTTCGTGCAGGATTTTCGTTTTCTCGCGACAAGTTGTTTTTGTTCCCATTGCTATTTCCGTCATTTGCTGCGTTTCATCCGTTTTTCCCATTTTGGGTGAGCCGAGGTGTACGCTTGCAAAATGAGCCTCTATCCCGGTCCCCAACGTTCTCACCCGGCTTACAAAACGATATATACAGGTAGTCCCCAACTTACGATGGAGATGCGTTACGACGACCCCATCGTAAGTCGAAAATATCGTAAGTCGGAGATGGCCTTGCCTACGCAGGCGTCTTAAAGAATGGTGATAATTTAGCAAAACAGGGAAATTTACAGTACCGTACTGTATAAACTATATACTGTATGTATTTTTTTTTATTACAATACTGTATTGCACAGTAACATTTTAAGTAAAGAACAAGGTATACATTCTTAGCCTACCTATATGAACTGCAATTTCATAGAAAGTTTTTTTTTCAGGAAACAATCCTATCTGCGATTAAAAAAAACTTTTAACATGCATTGACCGTATGTGTCGTATCGTGGTAACCCTAAAATTAAATCGCTAAAGCTACGTATCATACATGCACTGAACGTATCGTAACGTACCATATTCTACTGTGCTCACCAAGATTCTGTCCGTCGTCTGCATACTTGAACGATGTTAGGTTGCTGATGGCTACACATTAACTTAGTTGTCGGAAGAGGAGGATGGCGATGATAAAGTACAGTTATCGTACCTCGTACGCGCGAAATTAAATACAAATATTTTACAATGTTGTCATATCGCTATCGCCATCGTAAGATCGAAATATTGCAAGTCGGGGACTACCTGTATTTCAACTGGACAAATATCGTCGTATTCTTAGCTCTTTCGGTAAAGTCACGTTGAGCTAAGAATATGAACTAGCTAAGAATATGAATTACTGCAGTCACGAAAGCTTTAAATAAAAAAATATCGTCGTATCGCGCGATATAGCGTATATCGTAGAGGAAGTCTCACTGTTGAATTGTGGCGCAGCATCGCCCCCTGGTGGTATCCACACAACACAAAGACAAATATACCCCCCGCATAGCCTTGAACAGACACCGTGGGGGGCAAATGTTAGTTGCGAGCACCTATTAAAAACTCCACATGAAACGGGTGGGGTGGGAAACACCACGCACGGCCGCCTTTATCTCTCCCAGGTACAGCACTCGTTTAATGACCTAGGAGGGGCCCCCCAAATGCCCCCCCTTGTTCAGATATTCGTCAGCGCGGACATCTCTAACCCCCCCCCCCCCAAATTAAAGCGGCATATTCATAATCACATTCCGGAAGACTGTTCTCCAAAGCAACACTATTCTCCCGATTATAAAGACACTAAATTTTTTTTTGGGGGGGGGGGTGGGGGGGCAAAACGACGCCAACATTTGGGGTACATCTTTTTGTACGCGTGTAGAAATTCTTTCACACACCGTACCGTATAGCCGACCGTGCTAATTGAACTCGCCGTGAGCTATAAACACTCCGCCACGTGTTTTTTTACAGCATAGGCTAGGGCCGCAGGCCTGAGGATGGAAAGATAAAGCAGACAATGCCTCGCAACACGCGTTATCTCATATTCTTAGCTCTTTCGGTAAAGTCACGTTGAAGGGAAACAATAAAATATATATTTTAAAAAAGCATACATGTCAACCCATACCGGTTTACCTGTATTCCTGAACAGGGACAATTTTGATTTAAAGCTTTCGTGACTGCAGTAATTAATATTCTTAGTTCTTTCGGTAAAGTCACGTGACGACCGTTTGTGTTATGGTCGAAACGTCGTGAGATTTTTTTATTATATATATTATTATTTTATTGTTTCCCTTCAACGTGACTTTACCGAAAGAACTAAGACTAGGGACAATTTTGTTTTCAGGTTCATAGGGCGTACAGCCGTTTCAATAGGGGGCAAACATTTTGTCGTCTGTTCGTGTTTTCTCCCTTGTGATGGGACTTTGTAGGATGAATGTTGAGATTTATAAGTGGGCACGGGGTGACCAATAAGGTCTGAACTGGTCTGTAGTAAGATAGGGCACTGATAAGGGGTTGACATGGTATGCAAAAGTATTCTTTACAAACACCATTGTGGGTTATTGGGAGTGCATAGTTCCAGAAGTCTCCACCGACGACGCTCGTGATTTTTTTTGGGCGCAAAACGGAACCATCAACGATGATCATCATCATCACCCAAGTCGCCCTTGAACCTCCTCCGCAGCCCGCAGTCTGCTGATGAGTCAGTGAATGTCGAAGTTTTGCTTGTGTTCAGGGCCGATGCCGTAATGTGTGCGGCTGTATGGGGCTCACATTGTACTACTCCTGGCTCTGCAGTGAGTGTGGAGTCTGTTGAATGTTCTCCCACAAGTTCTGCATAGGATTGTCCTCCGTTCTCCATACCAAAGTGTAAAAACAACTTCATAGCCAAACATCGAACCCATTGCGAGCTGATGAAATCGCCACGGTGGCTCGATGTCAACTACCTCGCCTGGTATACAGGAGGTCGTGGGTACGATCCAGACCCTGACGACTGCTGCTGTATATTTGGAGTTTACGTGTCTCTCATCATCATCACTGTGGCTATGAAATGTTAACTACCTCGCCTGGTATGCAGGAGGTTCGTGGGTACGACCCCGACCCTGACGCCTGCTGCTGTATATTTGGAGTTTGCAGTGCTTCTCATCATCACGGTGGCTATGAGATGTTAACTACCTCGCCTGGTATGCAGGAGGTTGTGGATTCGATCCCGACCCTGACGCCTGCTGCTGCTGTATATTTGAAGTTTGCGGTGTCTCTCTCACCGCAAACCCCCTCCACATTTAAAATCAACATCACGCGTCCAAGAGGAGTAATTAGGCTGCTCTAAATGTCCACGCGATGAGCCACAACTTCGCTGAGCTACCCTTTGTGGGCAAGGTCACCACCGTCTGGGAAATAAAACTGCTACATTTGCTCAATGGGCTTTACCTGGTAACATAGGGGAAAAATAAATTGTTTACCCACAAGTTACTCAATTGGCATTACAGTACAAAGACAACAGAATCAGCAACAACATCGCTTCAACCCGGGACCGCGAACACTTTTAACACCGCATGTGCCGTAAATAATAACAATAACCGATTGTAAATGTTGCGTATTTGATTGATCTCAAACAGACCGATGTTTGCTGTGCTAGTAACGAATTACGTGACAAACCTTCCAAAATTGTCCGTGTCGGGTGGTGGAGGGTTTAACGACACATTTATATATTTATACGCGCTCTTCCCCCCCCCCCCCCAAATGAAACCCCCTGTATTACGGATACTACGACCTGCTTGGAACACGTTGAGTTAGGAGACCACGAGAGAATGAGCCACGTGGTTAATGAACCGAACCTGCACATCATGTCCCAGCCCAGGTTCCTCGAGCCTCGTGGATGGCCGCTCGGTCCCCTCCCTCCGCTGGGCCCCCTCCCTCCGCTGGGCCCCCTCCCTCCGCTGGGCCCCCTTGTTGTTGTTGGGGGGGGGGGTTTGAGGGGTCCAAGATGTGTTGGGTCTCCGTGGTCCCGGGATCCAGCTGCTCGTAGCAGCGGTACCTCGGGTGAGTGATCCGGGGGGAAGAGGGGGTCTGGGGCTAGGGTGAGGGGTCTAGGGTGAGGGGTGAGGGGCCTGGGGTGAGGGGTCTGGGTGAGGGGTCTGGGGTGAGGGGTCTGGGTGAGGGGTCTGGGGTGAGGGGTTCGGGGTGAGGGTCTGGGGTGAGGGTCCCGGCGAGGGGACTAGGGTGAGGGGTCTGGGTGAGGGGTCTGGGGTGAGGGTCCCGGCGAGGGGACTAGGGTGATGGGTCTGGGGTGAGGGGTCTGGGGTGAGGGGTCTGGGGTGAGGGGTCTGGGGTGAGGGGTCTGGGTGAGGGGTCTGGGGTGAGGGGTCTGGGTGAGGGGTCTGGTGTGAGGGGTCTGGGTGAGGGGTCTGGGGTGAGGGGTCTGGGTGAGGGGTCTGGGGTGAGGGGTATGGGTGAGGGTCCCGGCGAGGGGTCTGGGGTGAGGGGTCTAGGGTGAGGGGTCTGGGTGAGGGTCCCGGCGAGGGGTCTAGGGTGAGGGGTCTAGGGTGAGGGGTCTGGGGTGAGGGGTCTGGGGTGAGGGGTCCGGGGTGAGGGTCCCGGCGAGGGGACTAGGGTGATGGGTCTGGGGTGAGGGGTCTGGGGTGAGGGGTCTGGGTGAGGGGTCTGGGGTGAGGGGTCTGGGGTGAGGGGTCTGGGTGAGGGGTCTGGGGTGAGGGGTCTGGGGTGAGGGGTCTGGGTGAGGGGTCTGGGGTGAGGGGTCTGGGTGAGGGGTCTGGGTGAGGGGTATGGGTGAGGGGTCTGGGTGAGGGTCCCGGCGAGGGGTCTGGGGTGAGGGGTCTAGGGTGAGGGGTCTGGGTGAGGGTCCCGGCGAGGGGTCTAGGGTGAGGGGTCTAGGGTGAGGGGTCTGGGGTGAGGGGTCTGGGGTGAGGGGTCTGGGGTGAGGGGTCTGGGGTGAGGGGTCTGGGGTGAGGGGTCCGGGGTGAGGGTCCCGGCGAGGGGACCGCCGCCCCGCGCTCCCCTCTGCGTGTGACGCAGCTTCAACGGGGATCTCGCTCCTCCATCGCCCCGGGTCCGCGGCCACCTCCCACCCCGCCGCCTCGCTCCGCTACTATTTACATCGCCATTAACATTATATTTACCATTGACGTTGACGACAAATAGTTGTTAATGTTGTTATTATTATTACACAAGCTGCTGCTGCTGTTGTTGTCGCCGCGGGAGAGAGGCGCCACGAGCTGGGCGAGGAGGCGGCGGCGGCGGCCGCGCCAACGCAGCGACACCCAGAGGCGCGTGCGGGGATGGCTGATGGGGGTGGTGATGGGGGTGGTGATGGGGGTGGTGATGGGGGTGGTGGTGGGGGTGGTGATGGTGATGGGGGTGGTGATGGGTGATGGGGGTGGTGATGGTGATGGGGGTGGGGGTGGGGGTGGGGATGGGGGTGGTGATGGGGGTGGTGGTGGGGGTGGTGATGGTGATGGGGGTGGTGATGGGTGATGGGGGTGGGGGTGGTGATGGTGATGGGGGTGGTGATGGCTGATGGGGGTGGTGATGGTGATGGGGGTGGTGATGGTGATGGGGGTGGAGGTGGTGATGGGGGTGGTGATGGTGATGGGGGTGGTGATGGGGGTGGTGGTGGGGGTGGTGATGGTGATGGGGGTGGTGATGGGTGATGGGGGTGGGGGTGGTGATGGTGATGGGGTTGGTGATGGCTGATGGGGGTGGTGATGGTGATGGGGGTGGTGATGGTGATGGGGGTGGAGGTGGTGATGGGGGTGGTGATGGTGATGGGGGTGGTGATGGGGGTGGTGGTGGGGGTGGTGATGGTGATGGGGGTGGTGATGGGTGATGGGGGTGGGGGTGGTGATGGTGATGGGGGTGGTGATGGCTGATGGGGGTGGTGATGGTGATGGGGGTGGTGATGGTGATGGGGGTGGTGATGGTGATGGGGGTGGTGATGGGTGATGGGGGTGGGGGTGGTGATGGTGATGGGGGTGGTGATGGGGGTGGTGATGGTGATGGTGGTGGGGGTGGTGATGGGGGTGGGGGTGGTGGTGGGTGATGGGGGTGGGGGTGGTGATGGTGACGAGGTAGGGGGTGGTGATGGGGGTGGTGGTGGGGGTGGTGATGGGGGTGGTGATGGGGGTGGGGGTGGTGATGGGGGTGGGGGTGGTGATGGTGATGGGGGTGGTGATGGTGATGGGGGTGGTGATGGGGGTGGTGGTGGGGGTGGTGATGGTGATGGGGGTGGGGGTGGTGATGGGTGATGGGGGTGGTGATGGGGGTGGTGGTGGGGGTGGTGATGGTGATGGGGGTGGGGGTGGTGATGGGGGTGGTGATGGTGAGGGGGGTGGTGATGGGGGTGGGGGTGGTGATGGGTGATGGGGGTGGTGATGGGTGATGGGGGTGGTGATGGTGATGGGGGTGGTGATGGTGATGGGGGTGGTGATGGGGGTGGTGATGGGTGATGGGGGTGGGGGTGGTGATGGGGGTGGTGATGGGTGATGGGGGTGGTGATGGGTGATGGGGGTGGGGGTGGTGATGGTGATGGGGGTGGGGGTGGGTGATGGGGGTGGTGATGGGGGTGGGGGTGGTGATGGGGGTGGGTGATGGGGGTGGTGATGGGGGTGGTGATGGGTGATGGGGGTGATGGGTGATGGGGGTGGGGGTGGTGATGGGGGTGGTGATGGGGGTGGTGATGGCTGATGGGGGTGGGGGTGGTGATGGGGGTGGTGATGGGTGATGGGGGTGGTGATGGGTGATGGGGGTGGTGATGGGGGTGGGGGTGGTGATGGTGATGGGGGTGGTGATGATGTGGGTGGTGATGGTGATGGGGGTGGTGATGGGGGTGGTGATGGGGGTGGTGATGGCTGATGGGGGTGGTGATGGTGATGGGGGTGGTGATGGCTGATGGGGGTGGTGATGGTGATGGGGGTGGTGATGGGGGTGGTGATGGTGATGGGGGTGGGGGTGGTGATGGGGGTGGTGATGGGGGTGGGGGTGGTGATGGGGGTGGTGATGGGGGTGGTGATGGGGGTGGTGATGGGGGTGGTGATGGGGGTGGTGATGGGGGTGATGGGGGTGATGGGGGTGGGGGTGGTGATGGCTGATGGGGGTGGTGATGGCTGATGGGGGTGTTGATGGGGGTGTTGAGGGTGATGTTGATGGGGGTGTTGATGGGGGTGGTGATGGTGATGGGGGTGGTGATGGGTGATGGGGGTGGGGGTTGTGATGGGGGTGGTGATGGGTGATGGGGGTGGTGATGGGGGTGGTGATGGGGGTGGTGATGGTGATGGGGGTGGTGATGGTCATGGGGGTGGTGATGGGGGTGGTGATGGTGATGGGGGTGGTGATGGCTGATGGGGGTGGTGATGGGGGTGGTGATGGTGATGGGGGTGGTGATGGCTGATGGGGGTGGTGATGGGGGTGGTGATGGGGGTGGTGATGGTGATGGGTGATGGGGGTGGTGATGGGGGTGGTGATGGGGGTGGTGATGGTGATGGGGGTGGTGATGGTGATGGGGGTGGTGATGGGGGTGGTGATGGTGATGGGGGTGGTGATGGCTGATGGGGGTGGTGATGGCTGATGGGGGTGGTGATGGGGGTGGTGATGGGGGTGGTGATGGGGGTGGTGATGGCTGATGGGGGTGGTGATGGTGATGGGGGTGGTGATGGCTGATGGGGGTGGTGATGGGGGTGGTGATGGTGATGGGTGATGGGGGTGGTGATGGGGGTGGTGATGGGGGTGGTGATGGGGGTGGTGATGGTGATGGGGGTGGTGATGGGGGTGGTGATGGGGGTGGTGATGGGGGTGGTGATGGCTGATGGGGGTGGTGATGGGGGTGGTGATGGGGGTGGTGATGGCTGATGGGGGTGGTGATGGGGGTGGTGATGGGTGATGAGGGTGGTGATGGGGGTGGTGATGGCTGATGGGAGGGGATGTGGGGGATGGAGGATGGCGATGAGTGGATGGTGAAGGATAATTGCGATGGGGGGGTCATTGAAGGCGATTGGTGATGGTCGGTAGTGGTTATGTCGATGGGGGATGGTGATGGGGTGATTTTTTCTTGCTGTGGTTTTCCCACCTGATGATGATGATTGCTTGTGTTGCAATCGAAACGTCGTGATTTGTTTTATTTTAATTTATTTCTACCTACGTGACTTTGCCGAAAAAAAAACATAGCGTATGGATTCCTGCAGTCACGAAAGCTTCAAATCAAGATCGCTAGAGATTCAGGTTTGGGTGCTTTTGAATCGATCACAGCTATTTCCAGGGTTAAAATGCAACGTTCCTTTAAGTCTCGAGCAGCTGATACATATTGTACTGAACAACCTTATGGCTAAACATTGTATTTGGGGTTCGATTATATATGCGTAACTTAATTATCCATCCACCTCCCGACAGAACAAATCATCAAATGTGCTGAATGTTGAAAGGCCCAACAATTTGAACAAATTTGTCCGACGTTTCGCTGGAGATCACACCCATCATCATCAGGCGTGAAATTGCTTCCCGCTGTGGAGTCATTCAGCAGGTGCCGCGATGTCCGGAACAGCCGTGCAAGGTGAACAACTTTGATCATCGAGGGGCTATTGATTGTGATTGGCAGGTTATGGATTAGTGACATAAGGTGATTATATGCTATCGGTAATTATATTAAGGCGTGCTATTGTGTTCGCAATGAAGCGGGCGTATTAATGCTACTGTGGTCCTACTTTAGCGTTAAATACGTATTGTACCTACACGGCGACATTACAGCGACACTATCTAACCCAAAATAAACGTAATTGTGAGTGAACGTTGGGGTCGTGAAAGCCTACATACGTATACAGTATAAACAAGAGATCACACCCAGTATAAACAAGAGATCACACCCATTCATCTGTGGGGTACAGTTATGCATATTCAGCTCCCCTGAGATACTGGGCACAAACTGGTCTTAATAAACCCGAGAACGTATCCTAATGTGAGTGTTTTACAAAGATTGTGTTAACTCGTTCCTCCAAAATAAATGATAACTGCTTGCTTGGTGGCAGTGATGGATTTACTGGCGCTGGTTGTGTTGGTAGTGCTGGTGGTAGCGATGGATTTGCTAGTGCTGGTTGTGTTGGTAGTGCTGGTGGTAGTGATGGATTTATTGGTGCTGGTTGTGTTGGTAGCGCTGGTGGTAGCGATGGATTTACTGATGCTTGTTGTGTTGGTAGTGATGGATTTGCTGGTGCTGGTTGTGTTGGTAGCGCTGGTGGTAGCGATGGATTTGCTGATGCTGGTTGTGTTGGTAGTGATATTGGTGGTAGTGATGGATTTGCTGGTGCTGGTTGTGTTGGTAGTGCTGGTGGTAGCGATGGATTTGCTAGTGCTGGTAGTGTTGGTAGTGCTGGTGGTAGTGATGGATTTACTGATGCTTGTTGTGTTGGTAGTGATGGATTTGCTGGTGCTGGTTGTGTTGGTAGCGCTGGTGGTAGCGATGGATTTGCTGATGCTGGTTGTGTTGGCAGTGCTGGTTGTGTTGGCAGTGCTGGTGGTAGTGATGGATTTGTTGATGCTGGTTGTGTTGGTAGTGATATTGGTGGTAGTGATGGATTTGCTGGTGCTGGTTGTGTTGGTAGTGCTGGTGGTAGTGAATAATTTACTGGTGCTGGTTGTGATGGTAGTGATATAGGTGGTAGTGATGGATTTGCATACCTGTCAACCCATACGATTTACCCGTATTCTTGTGCAAGGAAATTGAGTTGTAAGGTTCATACGGCGTACAGCCGTTTTAATAGGGCAACATTGTGTCTGTGTTTCTCCCTTGTGATGGGACTTTGTAGGTCGAACGTTGAGATTTATAAGGGCACGGGTGACCAATAAGGTCTGAATTGGTATGTAATAAAGTAAGCACTGATAAGGTGTTGACAGGTATGGATTTCCTGATGGTAGTTATGTTGGCAGTGCTAGTGATGGATTTGTTGATGGAGACTCGTAAAAATTATACACTGTTAAATAAACTTTATTGACAACACCTTTCCCTTTCTCACCATGACAAAATCATATATTACATCACCAATTGATAAAAATCGTTAAATAATCTGCAAGTGTTCTCGAGGAATGACCTGTGGCAGTGTAACTGTGCTGCCTCGGGTCCACGTGAACCCTACCGGTCATCTCCATCGGCGTGTTCATGGTAATTCACCAAGTCAACGGTTTCATCACAGAGGTCAGCAGGGGGTCACGGAAATGGTGAATTTGAACGAAGCCCTCACTGCAATCTTGGAAATTCCTTTAGAAACATTAGATTGGGCGCTTCCTTTATTTCCTTGAAGAACTGCCATACATCACGCGTATGGAATTACCGATTTCTAGACCGTGGTTATGGGGGGAGGGTGGGAGGGGCTGTCCCGATGCAAACCAGACATCCCTGCATTTCAATGTATTTGAACCAGTTATATCATAGTCTATTCAAAGAGGGGGGAAAAAACAAATAACCTAAATTAGCCACTGGGTTAAATTAAATGTTTAACTTCTGAGCAGCGATTCATTTTTTTGTTCACAAATACATTTTCTTTTCAAAACAGGAATATGCTTTGCTGCACCACGTTCCAAGACGTGTCCACAAATAGTTACATTGTTTTTCCCCGCACCTCGGCCGTGATTTTTTTTTTACGACAAACGTCTGCGACGAAATCGCGGCCTTAACGACGTTGACGGATGTGGAGACGCGTCCTCTCGTGCAAAACCACGTGCTCGCGGACGCCCCAGCTCGGTCTCCAGCCGAGACTCGGTTAGCCAGTCCTGCTGTCTCTCAACACCTGTGCACATCGCCACCCTTGTGAAAACGCAATTAAACCTGCTACCACCCGTGCATGATCCACGGAGTCTTGACATTCTTGCCGGGGCCCGTCTTCCGTATGATTTGAACCGTCTTCCAGCACCACCTGGAGTAACATCCTTCTGCCACTCCTACCTGCTCAGGTAGTGCCACTTGTCCACTGTGCAGAAGAAAGGACACGGGATCACATTAGATGTAAAAAATACGCTCGCGTCGATGTTCGCCAGCTCTGTGATTGCTGGTTTTCTTTTTTTTTTAAGCCAGCGTGGCCAAATCGGAGAGCGCTCGTTGGAAAGTGCAATGAATCGCGAACGCGTGAGAGTGAATTAAAACGTAGACAGGGAAAACATCTTACCTTCGACTGGGATGCTTTTGGGAGCACCAAGGGGAGGGTTCTGTTGGAGACAAATGGAACATCGATGAGACTAATTATGATAATTTTGAACCTGTACTAATACCCCGCCGCTCCAAAGTATTTGCTCACCTCGAGAGAATGACTCGGGAGCCGTGAGTAACCACAGACAAACGAGAAGGCAGCAGCAGCGAGGCGGTGAGAAGCCGGCGCTACCAATAATTGCCCAAGCTCTGAGGTTCTGAATATATTTTAAGGATGTTGTCTAGCAATTAATGAGCGTTTGCATGTGGTCGGAAACTGGAGCACCCGGAGAAAACCCGCGTGTGCGAGGGGGTAACACTGTCCGATCCAGATGGAACAGATCGAGATTAGTCCACATTTTTGCTGGACTCTCCTCTGGCGAGCCAGGGTACGGCACCTCAACGCCCACGGGAAGGGAGCTTCACAACATTCGTGTGATCCATCAACCCTTCCTCTGATCGTTACTAATCGGCGTGTTTTCTGATGCAATTAGTTTTTTGTTAAATATACTACTGTTGTTATTGTTATTGAAACATTGAGCTGCCTCAGTGGGGTAAAGGGTTACCACACTGGCATTGTAATCCAGAGGTCGCCAGTTTGACTTCAACTTCCAGTGCAGTTTAAACACTCAAATCCCCCCCTTCCCACTGCCTCTGTCCACCCAGCGGTATAAATGCGTTCACCGCGGTCAGTTGATCGGCCAGCCGGTCGCGTGCGGTGCGGGCAAAGTGTGGGTACGCCCACCTTTAGAGTTCCGGTAGAGTTCGCTCTAGCAACGGAGGCCCTTCACCACAGAAGTGGCAAGAGAGAGAGCAATTGAAGGGCCGCACCTTTGCCCCATCGTAAAATAAAGAAACGACGGCTCGGCCGACGCCAAAGTTCGTTCGACGCGGAGGTGGTCACGCGGTGCGACTCACAGCCTGCAGTGCGGCCTGCGCCGTCTTCTGGTCGCGCTTGAAGGGGCTTCCGTCCACGCTGGTGTTGGTGCTGGGTGGGAAGGGAGGGCGGGAGGGATGGAAGGGGGGCGGGCCGTCGTTATCACGGAAACAACCTCCTTCCGGCGTCGTCACCAGGCACGCAATGATGAACCGATCCACCGATTACGATTGGACCTTCCGCTCGTCATTCACTTAGAAGCACCAACATCACGCACCAGGTCGCGCTCGCAAACCGCAGGAAGGCGTGACTCCCGTAACTCCTTGCGTGCACGTCACACGACCACCTCATTTGTGTGTACAATGCCCCTCAGCCTTGTCTAAACCACCAACTCAGTCTCAGTTCTGTCAAAAGACAGGTGAGTGTATTTAGATGTTGTCTTTCCCCCGCACCTCCGATTAGCACGGTTGGCTACATACGGTGCGGAAGAAGTTCAACATACATACACGAAAACTTGCATCTAATCTTTTGTACGAACTAGAAACACAAAAAAAGCGCAAAAAATACACATACAAGTACAAATGAACCCACTTGCTGTACTGCGTAGATAGTGACCTCAACGCCCATGGGTAGGGAGGGAGTTTACAGGAATGTGCGTGTGATTCCACCAACCCCCGCGACTTTCACATTGCTGGACTACAGGCCACGTGCAGCATAAGCCACCAGCGCCCGGCTGCGACTGCATTGCTCACTCACCAGTCCAGCTGGCCCGGGCTGGTGGCTCCGGTGATGAGGGATCGCCAGTAGCGGTGTGTAGACTGTAGGACCTCCTCCGCAAACTCCTGTGAGACAAACGTTCAGGGAAACACGGCGAGCTTTTCCCATCTGTCCTCTCGTTCCCGGTTTGACTCGCAATTGGTGGCGATCGGTGGCGTCGGTCGCATGACGAGCCAAAAGCGTGCGTTCAGACCTTTCACAAGAGTAGTGCAACCTTTCGCGTTGGAGAACGGCTCGCGAAATTGGATATTTCAGAGCTACCACCGGGATCCCTTCAAGTGATCTCTGGTGCACACGCAGTAGAGGGCAGCACTTGCTCTGCATATGACAGTGACGTCCTTCAAATGACCGTCAAACTGATTAAGGTATGATTTTATTCCCCGAACTGGAATTTAGCCGAATTAACTGCTGAACAATGGTTTTAATATGATGGTTTTTATTTGTGTAGTCATTGGCTACTGGGCTGAGACCATTGGCTCGCTGCTCTTGAGGACCCAGTTTTGAACCCGTGACCTCGGCGGTGCCAGATCAGCGCTCTGACCTCTGAGGCACTTGGCCACCTTGAACGTTCTACCACCTCGGCTGGGATTTTCGCTTTTGGGCAACACCATACTTTCATCTTTTGGAACTCGACATTGCGACGTGCAACTTGCAACTGAATCGCTTAAATGTAGTCGTCTCTTTCACCAATTGCGAGCAAATGCACCAACCGGTTGTTCACAGGAGAGGCAGACTCTACTCGAAAGCATTGATCCGTTCAGCGGCTTATAGTGATGAAATTCGTTGTGCGCGCTGCTACGATCGGTCGTGACGCTCCTGAATTTTACGCAGTTTGATTTCCTCATTGAGCAACTACTCGCTCTGATGCAGACAAAATAGTTGCTGGCAATGATCAAGTTGAGCAAGCTCAAGAGCGACTACGGTTGTGCAGCTGACCGCCCCGGCTAAACAGTCAAAACGATTCGCTTGGGTACCTTATCTTTGAATTTGCCGTCGAACGCGAAGCAGTTTTCCGGTTTGCCCTCGGGAATCTTGTAAACCCGGAACCAGTTGCGCGTGGCGTCCAGGTATCCGGGCCGCAGCCTCTCCACGTCCGCCAGCGCTGGGGTCCATCGTCGCCATCGGCAGAGTCACGCGCGCGTCGATTCGTCAAAAACGTAGCCGCTTCACGCGTCGTGCGTAACTTACAGGTACTGTTGGCATGTAAAAAACTACGCAGGGGAGCAGGCGAGGGGCTTACAGTTGATGTTGTTAAACTCCGGGTCGTCGGCGTTGATGACGATGACCTTCCAGTCCGTCTCCCCTTCGTCGATGAGCGCCAGCACCCCCAGCGCCTTCACGCTCACCACCTCGCCACGGTTGCACACCTGCGCCACCACACACACACGGGGCACCGAGTCATGCGCGCAATCGAGCGACACGCCCCTATCCCTGCCTCCACAGTGCTGGATTACTCGGAAGAAGGTCGTGCATACTCTGCATTACAAGATGCATTTTTCTCCCCACTGTGTTTTAGAGAAAAAGATTGCTGCGTGGAGGGAGGGTTTATAGTAATATAATAATTGATAATAATTCCAATGTATAATGCGCATTCCATCCTAGGATCCCAGTGCGCAATGCATGAAAAGCAGGAAACAAAAACAGCGCCAAACTAAAGAGGCAAGGCCACTTTAAAGAGATGGGGTTTGCAAAGCAAGCTTAAGAATATCTACCGACTCCGATTGCCTGATTTCAAGTGGCAAGGCATTCCATAGCTTGGGTGCAATGCTAACAAAAGCCCAGCCACCAAAAGAGCACAACCTAGACTGGGGGATGCTGAGCAGTTGGGGATCAGACGATCTTAAGGACCTTGATGAAATATAAAATGTATTAGTTCCTACAGGTAATGTGGGGCGAGCCCTTTTAAAGCCTTTTTGATTAACAGCGGTATCTTAAAATCCTCTAGAAATTTGACTGGTATCTAATGAAGAGATAATGGGACTGGTGTAATGTGCTCACGGAATGGTGTACGTGGTGTAAGCACTCGAGCAGCTGCATTCTGAACAAGCTGTCCTATGCCCAGTACTTTGCTCGGAATTCTAACCAGTGAGGCGTTGAGGTAGTCAAGTCGGTACAACACAAAAGCATGGACTAATCTCTCCAAGTCAGCAGGCGACGGGAAGCGATGCATTCTGGTAATATTTCTTAGGTGGAAAAAGGGCATTTTAACCACCTTAGATATGTGCCTCAAAGGACAATGACCGGTCAAACTGAACACCAAGGTTTATATGACGTCCCGTGTGGGAATGACATCGTGACCATCAATCAACAAACGAGGCGAACCAATTTTAGAAAGATGCAGAGGGGAGCCGATAAATACGGCTTCGGTCTTGTCGGCATTTAGTTGAAAAAAGTTTTGGCGCAACCATGAATTAGCCACTGTTAGTGATGCAGATAGCGCAGAAGAAGCTGTTGCATTGTCTGGTCATAACCGGATATAAATTTTGAGTATCATCTGCAAAGAAATGGTAGGATAAGCCAAGATGTAAGGGCAAAAAATATTCAATGGTGCCATGTAGATGCTAAAAAGTGATTGGCCAAACACAAATCCCTGCAGAACACCACAAAGAACCGGTCTAAATTGGTGACTTCATCCGGTAGTTGCGTGTGTGTGTGTGTACATGACCAGATTTGCATACATTTTTTTGACACCTAGTACGTATCTGGGGTGCGCCTTAATTTTCGGAGAGTCTTATAATCCTGAGAATACAGCAACACAGCCCAGGGAGGTAGGGACAGCTCACCCGCAAGCCGATGTCGCACACGTCCACTGGATCATTGTCTCCGCAGCAGCCCGTGTCCGCGTCTTTATGTGACGGATCCTCCCATGTCTACACACACACAAAGACAAAGACCCCCATGTAGCCTGCAAGGTATGTCGGGGAAAGTGCTGTGAAGGGGCTTGTAACTGCAGCCGGTGTCCGCCTCCTCATGGAATGGGTCTTCCATGTCTTACACACACAAAGGCAAATATCCCCATGTAGCCCACAATGATTGTTGAGGCAAGTGCTGTGAAGGGGCTGGTATCTGGAGCTGGTGTCTGCATCATTATGTGACGGGTACTCCCTTGTCTTACACAAAGGCAAAGATCCTCATTTAGCCTACAAGGATTGTCGGGGCAAGTTCCACGAAGGGGCCGGTGCACCACCAACCCAAGTGCACCGAGGCTAGGCCAGGCAAGCGTGGTCACTGGGGGGGGCGCGCAGCACCTGCGGAATGGCGCCGTAGTTCCAGATGTAGCCCTTGTAGGGGAAGACGTTGGCGGTGAAGCGCAGCTTGCCCTTCTTCACGTCCTGCTTGATGGGGTTCAGCGGGAGCTTCGTGGCGATCTACGCAGCGCAGCGCGAGCAGTGAGCCGAGCGTACCCGGCGGGTTCCCCCCGTCCCCCGCCCCCCGTCCCCTGCCCCCCGCCCCCCGACGCGCTCGTTACACGACGGCACCGCTCGCGCGCACAGCTCAACAGCAGAAGAGGCACCACTCGCCAGCACGGTTGGGTCAATGAGTCCCTTGGCTATAGAAGAGGCGGTACTCCGCACAATTGGGTGAGAGAACTAATGAGCGAGTGAGTCATTCAGCTGTTGATGAGGCAGTACTTTGCACAATTAGGGTGGATGAGCAAGAAGATAAGTGAGTCAGTGAGTCACGCAGCTGTAGAAGGGGGTAGTACGATGCATAATTTGGTGAGTGAATGAATGAGTACATAAAAACTCGCATGCAAAATAACTGCAGGTGGCCAATCATTACTCAGCGCTCGTGTGCGTGCAGCTCTGTCATGTGGCTCTCGGTTATACGAAGACGTGGCTCTTACGTTAGGAAGTTTAGCCACCCACGGTGGACAGCCTATGAATAATATACAGTCTGGTGAATCGAATTCTCAACACGGGTGGAGGAAACGAGCAGGTGAAGTTTCAGGAAGCAGCATCCACGGCAGTAGTGATGGCGGAGTGATAAAGGCGAAGGCGAAGGAGGCGACCGCGGGCGAATTAACCGTTGGGTAGGTGCCGTTTGCTTCACGGTGGCCGTTACAGGTCCTGTGCCGCATATTCGAAGAAGAGCCGCCATTGTGTGTTGGCGTTGACGGTCCAAACTTTTGAGCAACTTTGAAAATTTAACACCGCAGATTACTCAATTGGAAATCCCAGAGCGATTGTCGCCCCCCCCCTACTGCGGGAAAACTTATCAGGACTCCAAGAAAACCCGAAAAAGTCTCGAGACTCAGTGAGGCTTTCCCGGGTATGGAAGTGTAATGATAAAATAATTCATAATAATAATAAAAAAAGTACCGCTCGTTCACACGAGGAATGACGAGTGCAACGTCGTTCGAGTGGGCCAGGCGAGAGGTGACAAAAGGACACGGCGTGGCGTCGCGGCCAACGGGACGGTGACGCGCGGTGCCCTCTGTGGTGCCCTTGGGAGAGAGCGCCGGCGGTATTTTCCTGCCGTCGTTTGTGTTGTGAGCGGATCGCATGGGGCAGGTGGTGGCCTTCGCTAACCCGAGCCAGCCGGGGCCTTCGCCCGCCAAAAACCGCCAGGTTCACATTTGAACGGGTTTACGGCCAGGGCCAGGCACAGCCACGTGTCGTGTCTAAGAATTTCCACTTGTACGCTGGCGGTGCGGTCTAGAAGCAGAGAGTACCGGTCATTGCACCGCGATAGTGGAACGAAAACTCTCAAGATGTTATCGGCGCACGAAGCACGCGGCGCCGAACGTTACGCAACTAAAATGACAACGCGAAAAGTTATTTTATAATTCCATCATCATAACCGTCAATCCACTGTTGGATGAAGGCCTCCCCCCAGCAAGCCGTCGCCACCTCTCACGACCCCTGGTATGCGATATTGCACCCAGCTCCTGCGCGATAACCGATTGAACCGTGTCATCTCCGCGGTGGGGTTCCTCTTGGACACGTTTCAAACCCGCGGCTGCCACTCCATTATTATTCCTGATCCTCGGCCAGAACAATGTTCTTTAATCACAACAAACACCCACCTCCATTTTGGCGTTGGACCAGCGAGGGATCTCGACCACCATGTTGTAGAGTTTCTGTTTGGGAGATAGAGGTGGACACGGGGACACGGGGACATGGAGAGACAGGGACACGGGGACACGGGGAGACATCGGGTAAATCCAAGCTACGGTTGCTACCTCTACGTATTCAGAGTGAAGCAGTCGGTTTGATCGATGATCCAGAACTCACTGATTCGCTCCAGTCACTCGCTCATTTACAGGCGGCCAGTCGTGTCCGTATCGTTCTTCTATCACTACTACCACCATGGTTGCTGTTCCCGTGAACTTCATTCGTTTATTGCTCCATCCTGCCACACTAATGCCCGTTTGCGGGCCAGGTTCCTAAAGTCACCTTATGCTGCACAGGGACAGCTGCCACTGGGGGTGCTCTTTTAAAATGTGTTGAGGTCAAAATGTGATGTAGAGCGCTCTGAGATACCCCCCATGGACAGGGCCGGGCGGTAAACTCATAAACAAATCACCGTCATTGGCAACCCTGGATATGCTAGCCTGGTGGAGAGGGGGGTACATTTGGTTGTGAGTGGAGAGCGTGGGGAGCGTGAGGCGTGGTGCGGGGACCCCAAGGGGATCCAAGGGGAACCCACCTGCTTGGCGTCCGCGTAGAGAGGGATGTCGTGGAAGGGCGAGATGAGTTGACCCTGAGCATTCCCTGTGGGGGAGACCGGGGAGCGCACGGGACGTTAGCGACAATTTGGGGTGCGGGGATTTGGGTGAATGAATGAGTAACTCAGCTGTAGTAAGAGATGGGTGAATGAGTGAATGAACGATTCACTCGGCTGTGGAAGAGGCAGTCCTCTGCAGCTGGGTGAATTAATGCATTTGTGAAGGATTCGCTCGGCTGCAGAAGAATTAGGGGAATGAGTGAATGAACGATTCACTCAGCTGTGGAAGAGGCAGTCCTCTGCAGCTGGGCGAATGAATGACTTAGTGAAGGATTCACTCGGCCGCAGAAGAGTTGGGTGAATGAGCGAGTGAATGAATGATTGAACGGACGAATCACTCAGCTGTAGAAGAGGCGGTACTCGGGAGAGTTTGGTTCGCCGCGTTCCTCCGTCCCGTATGCTCTGGAGGCCGCGAGGGGGGCCAGTCCCCTGTGTGGACCCCGCTTCATCCCGGCCAGAGCCAGGCCCCGTGCAGGGGTCCGTGCCGTCAGCACCGCGAGCGGCTTCCACCACATCTCTCCTGCGGTCAGTCGGGGGCGCTACGCATCAGCGAAATGCTACGAAAGATCTCCCCGCGTAGCTCAAAGTGTGGAAGGCGGGGGAGGAGGGACATTAATGATAATGATGATTCATTATAACAATAATAACACTAGCGCTACTATACAACAAGTGTTCTTCGTTGCAAGGCTCCCCGAGGGGCCCTGGTGAGCCTTTAGTGCGACCAGCGACAATACAGAAGCACAAGCTGGCAACAACCCACACGGTTTAACCCCCGCATTATTGTACAGGGACATTGAGTTTTCAGGTACATACGGCCCTACAGCCGTTTCACCACGGGCAAAAACAACCAGTGGTCTATTTGTGTCTGTGTTTCTCCCTTGTGATGGGACTATGTAGGATGAACGTTGAGATTTATAAGGGGCACGGGGTGACCAATAAGGTCTGAATTGGTCTGTAATCATGTAGGGCGCTGATAAGGGGTTGTTGACAGGTTTGTAGTGGTGAGTACTAGTGGTGAGTGTAGTGGTGCGTGTACTTGTGGTGAGTGTACTTGTGGTAATCGTCTATTTGTTTGTGTTTCTCCCTTGTGATGGGGCTTTGGAGGATGAATGTTGAGATTTATAAGTGGCACGGGGTGACCAATAAGGTCTTATTGTTCTGTAGTAATGTAGGGCACTGATAAGGGGTTGACAGGTTTGTAATTGTGTAGTGTATAGTGTAGTGTATAGTGTAGTGTATGGTGTAGTATACTCTTTGTATGGATCCTTGCAGTCACGAAAGCACGAAAGCTTCAAATCTAGTATGGTGTAGTGTATGGTGTAGTGTATAGGATGAACGTTGAGATTTATAAGGGGCACGAGGTGACCAATAAGATCTGTATTGTTCTGTAGTAATGTAGGGCACTGATAAGGGGTTGACATGTAATTGACACATTAGACCCCTTATCATGCTAGTGTCAAACTCCCCAATGGTTTCGAAATGCGTGGCGCCTCTCACACTGACCGATGTCGAATCGGCAAAGTCGCTACCCACTCTAATCCAAATGCTAATTATATATAAAAAAAACAATTCTAAGATCCAATTAACATCACTCATTCATCCGGCGTTACATATATAGTCTCTCGGCTGTCTGGTGTCTAACCGCATCGCTTCCGACATCTGCACCACTCACTATACAAGACAGTTTACATCCTACAGTATACGGTCTATACATAATACACTAGAGTTTGCAAACACTATAATCTACATACAATACAGTATATACTATCTACACATAATACAGTAATGCACACACGACAGTCTATACAGTCTACACGCACTAATCTCGTAGACACCCCAGGCTTCACATGCAGGATATTAGCACAGTACAGTCCATGTCACTGCAGTCAACACGCTACATTCTACTACACGTGACCACGGTGACCTGTGTACAGTGCATTACAGTGTTCACACGTGCGAGTGGACGAGCGGCTACACAGCAGACCAGGCACAGCGCAGCACAAGACACACGGCACAAGACACAGCACAAAAGACATACAGCACAAGACACACAGCACATGACACACAGCACATGACACACAGCACAAGACACACAGCACAAAAGACATACAGCACAAAAGACATACAGCACAAGACACAGCACAACAGCACAAGACACACAGCACAAGACACACAGCACATGACACACAGCACAACAGCACAAGACACACAGCACAAGACACAGCACAAGACACACAGCACATGACACACAGCACAAGACACAGCACAAGACACACAGCACATGACACACAGCACATGACACACAGCACAACACACAGCGGAGACAGCACAGTACAGCATACACAGCAGAGGAGACAACAGTACAGCAGACAGCACAGCAGACACAGTGGAGGAGACAGCAGACTCAGCAGACACAGCAGGGGAGACAACAGCACGACACACACAGCAGTCTAGGCAGAGCAGGCGGTGTGGAGACAGCAGTGGGCGCACGGTAGGCAAGTGTTGTTATGTACCACACCGATGTGGAAAAGCCTCAAGACTGTAACAGCGCACAGGGACAGAGCGGTGTGGCTCTGACAGGTAACGCGTGAGACAAACTCACCGGAGTAGTGTGTGAGACTGGGTAGAGTGAGAGACTAGGCAGTGTGACTAGGCAGTGAGACTAGGCAGTGTGATCCCCCAGTCGCCAGCCGTCCGTGTGGCTATCGGAAGTTGAGCTACGCCGCTTTCTCTCTTCTGTGCCACACGTGGGTGCGCTCGCCAAGGACGCTCGCTCCTGATTGGCTACGCGCGCCCCCCCCCCCGCGTCAGCCAACCCCGGACTCCACCAATCAGCAGTCGTGGAAGCGGCACCCTCGCCCCACCCCCACTGGGGCAATGTTTACGCTCTGACGTTCCCTATCCCCCCCACCCCCATAAACAAATCATTCTAGGGGGCGGGGGTAAGTCCCCGTTATGCATCGTTTCGTTATAAGTCGCAACTTCCAGCCCCTAACCCCGACGTATATCGGGGGGACCCTGTGTATTGTATAATTGTGTAAGTCGCAACTTTACAGCCCCTAACCCCGACGTATATCGGGGGGATCCTGTGTCTTATATAATTGTATAAGTCGCAACTTTCCAGCCCCTAACCCCGACGTATATCGGGGGGACCCTGTATATTCTATAATTGTGAACTTAGGACCCGTATATTAGAAAGTGTGTGTCCTCGCCTGTAAATATTCGGCACTGCGCAAGCATTGATGCGAGCAAGTCCGACTGCTGATGAGACACTGCGTGTCGAAGCCGACCTAGAGTATTTTTGTTAGCTTGTGCTGAATCAATGCTGCTGACATTACGTGCTCCCAGAGCACCGTGGGGGGCCGATGGGTTGTGTTATATATTTATTATTTTTCATGTGGCGATACAAAGGGGCCGTCCATAAATGACGTCACGCGATTTTGGACGATTTTTGACCCCCCTTCGTCACACGACGTCACAAAAAGTCAGACCCCCACTCAAATATGACGTCACAAAGCTCTGCCCCCCCCTCCCCAAAATAAAACATGCTTCAAATCGCTTTAAACTATTGTCATTGTTGTGCGTATTTAATGTGGCGCTGCAATCTGATGTTGTAGGAGAAAACATTTATTAAAAAGTCTATTTAGTTAAGTAGAACGTGTTGTCTATATTTATTTAAAGTTGCGCATTTTGATGTGACGTCACATTTCTCACCTCCCCCCCCCCCCTCGTCACACATCGTCACAAATGTCTGACCCCCCCCCCCCCCCCCAGGTGTGTGACGTCATTTATGGACGGCCCCACATTATGTACGTGCAGACCTATAGTCTGCGTTTCGATATTGTTACATACTCCACGAGGACAGCTGATGATTACATTTCGCCTTGCAATTAAGCGGCTTAGGTAGCCGTCTGGAGACTAACGGTGCGTCACTCCGCAAAATCCTACACACTCGGTGAAGATTGGGCCGCGTGTGGAGTTTATGAGAGGGACAGACAGCCCCGACACGTGTAGTTCGTGCGTGTGTGTTGCGTGCTCACGGCCAACACCCAGTGACGATTATCTGAACCGGTCCTGGGCCTCCCCTAGGTCGACTCAGCCTCAAATGAGTACCTGGTGCGGTGTGTAAACATCGTCACTGGGGAAACAAAGGCGGTCGGGCGTGGTGCTGGACACCCACTCCCTCGTGTGCCGTTCCGGCCTTCATAGGTGCTCGCTAACAGCACTTGCCCCTACAGTCTCTTCAGGCTATACGGGGGATCTTTGTCTTTGTTGTGTGAAACCGATGCCAAGGCACTCCGATCACTCCCGCAGCAGCTGCCAACCGTGTTCAGTCGTAATGATGGGATTTGCCTGATTGATTTTCTGCCTTGCCCAGGCAATAACCATCACAGAGAACCAGGGGGTGGCCTCCTTCCCAAGAGTTACCGACTAACGGGCACTTCGCAAGCAGGCCTTTAGCGGGCGTTGAGAGACCTTTGATGTTTAATGATATGAAAAGTAAGTGGGCTTGGGCAAGACAGGTATTGGCCAGAGGGCATAATGGGCCGGAGGGCATGATAGGCCAGAGGGCATGATGGGCCAGAGGGCATGATGGCCAGAGGGCATGATGGGCCAGAGGGCATGATGGCCAGAGGGCATGATGGGCCGGAGGGCATGATGGGCCAGAGGGCATGATGGCAAGAGGGCATGATGGGCCAGAGGGCATGATGGGCCAGAGGGCATGATGGCAAGAGGGCATGATGGGCCAGCGGTCGAGACTGAGGATATGGAGTGGCAGCCAAAGGAGGTAACTCGTCCCGGGAGAATGTCCACCGCTCGCAGAGATTTTTACCCAGCAAAACAATGAACGTTGGGCCGACGTTGGTCCAACGGTTTCAACCACATGCCACCGTTGGCTCAACGTTCGCATTTTTACTGGGTAAGCGCCACGAGTGGGGGGTTGGTTTGGCAGGGACTGGCGATTGAGCTGTCCAGCATGCGATGTCAGGGTCACGTGTCACGCGCAATGCAAACCTGTCATATCATGTGCCGTGTCATGTGACCGTCACGCATCTTGTAAGCTTGTACCATCACGTGTCACTTGTCGTGTCACCTCCGTCCCCATCGGCACGTGCCATGCGTGTCGTGTCACGTAGCCCTGTTCCATCCCACGCCAGGTGTCTGCATCGCTTGTCACGCGTCACGCAAGCCTATCCCATTGCATGCCACGTGTCACGTAACCGTATGCCGTCACAGGTAATGCACGGCGTGCCACCCTGTCCCATCACATGCCAACGCGTCGCACGTAACTCCGATGCACGTGCGTCGGGTAGAATGCACGTGAGCTGCTGAGTGTTCACGGTGGCGGGAAGGCCGCTCGCTCTGCGCCCAGGGTTTATTTTTTGAGAACGAAACCGCACAACGTCACCCAATGAATCAGCCAATCACTCGCCTAGTCACTCACTCAGTTAATCACTCAGTCAATTACTCGCTTGGCCACTCAATGAATCACTCACTCAGTCACTCATTCAATGTTTCACTCACTCAGTCATTCATTCAATGTTTCACTCACTCAGTCACTCATTCAATGTTTCACTCACTCAGTCACTCATTCAATGTTTCACTCACTCAGTGACTCGGTCATAGCGTCACTGACTGAATCACTCACTCAAGTCTCTTACTCACGCACCCACTCATTCACTCAATCGCTCCCCATGCGCTGTGCGGCGGCGAACCCGTCACGCGGACGCGAGTGGCGAATGCTGTGGTAACGAGTAACACTGGGCAACGTAGAGTAACGTGGAGTAACGCAGAGTAACGCCGGGTAACGCCGTATAGCGTCGTAAGCTCACGAGTGAAAATTCCACGCCCAGGGACCGGGAAAAACTCGCCGCTCCTCCTCGCCGGGTGTGTGGGAAACCCAACGGACATCCCCACCAGGGACCCCCACAGAGATCCCCACAGAGACCCCCACCAGGGACCCCCACAGAGACTCCCACCAGGGACCCCCACAGAGACCCCCACAGAGACCCCCACAGAGACCCCCAACAGAGACCCCCACAGAGACCCCCACAGAGACCCCCAACAGGGACCCACACAGAGACCCCCACAGAGACCCCCACCAGGGACCCCCACAGAGACCCCCACAGAGACCCCCACAGGGACCCCCAACAGGGACCCCCACAGAGACCCCCACAGAGACCCCCAACAGGGACCCCCACAGAGACCCCCACAGAGACCCCCAACAGGGACCCCCACAGAGACCCCCACAGAGACCCCCACAGGGACCCCCAACAGGGACCCCCACAGAGACCCCAACAGGGACCCCCACAGAGACCCCCACAGAGACCCCCACCAGGGACCCCCACAGAGACCCCCACAGAGACCCCCGCAGGGACCCCCAACAGGGACCCCCACAGAGACCCCCACAGAGACCCCAACAGGGACCCCCACAGAGACCCCCACAGAGACCCCCCACATAGTCCCCCACAGAGACCCCCACAGGGACCCCCACCAGGGACCCCCCACAGAGACCCCCACAGAGACCCCCCACAGAGATCCCAGGCGAAAGACTCGAGCAGAAACCCCCAACAGGATCCTACGATGGACCCCAACCGTGGCCACAGGAGGGACCTCAACAGGGAACCAACAGGGACCAGAGCTAGGACGCCCTCACGGACCCCAGCAGGGCACCCCAACAGAGGTCAAAGCGAGGTCCCCTACGACGGCAGCGAGCCCAGCAGCGAACTCGGGTGGGCCGGAGGGCCCCGGTGGGGTCCGATAGCGATCATCATTCAAGGCCGCGAGAAAACAAAAGCGGCCGGTGCCGGCTTCGCCTGTAGCTTCACGTGACCGGACGTGAATCAACGACTCTCGTGTACGCGCACGACATTCGCGCGTACACGCGAAGTTTTGTACGCAGACGACCTTACGTACGACAACCTTCGTTACGTTTCCAGGAGCCTTCCCATGCACACATAATGTCCACGTATTCATACGCATATTTAAATGTATTTGTGATCTGCATATACAGAGGACGTCCACACGTACACACGATGTTGACGTGTACACACGACCTTCACATGAACACATCATATACATAGGACCTTTATATGTGCAATGCGCTTCTCATGTACGTTTGCCCATTTACACATGATCTTCACATGTACACGTGGCCTTCATGTGTACATGACATATAAAGAGGGCCTTCCCATGCATACACGACCTTCATATAAAGAGGCCTTTCACATGCACACATGGCCGTCACATGTACACGCGACCTTCATCTGTGCAGATCATATACAGAGGAACCTTCACGTGTGCAGATGAATTTCGTATTTGCCCACAGCTTTCGGATAAACGAAATCCCTGTGACCAAATTAAGTCGACGGCCACTGCAAGTGGGCAACCCAGAGATCCGATCTCAATCCAGAAGGTGGCGATGCTGAGGCTGTCAGAGTGGTCCTTGAAGGTGCCTCTGTCATGTTCGCAACAACCACACCATCTAGCGCAGGGTCGGCAACAAAAACAACAAGAAGATGATTTTTTTTTAGAATTCGGTGAATAGGAGACGGTGGCCTCTTAAATAAATAACGGTCACGAAGCAGTCCCTTAACGAGCCGCATGCCAAATTTTGATTTAAAGCTTTCGTGACTGCAGTAATTCATATTCTTAGTTTTTTCGGTAAAGTCACGTTGAAGAGATACACCCCTTCGTCCCATAGTCTCTACTATCGGCTCCCCCACCTACAAACTAGCTCGTTTTTTGTCTGAAATCCTGCGTCCTTTTACTGGAAAGACCACCTCTGCGGTACAAAATTCTACTCATCTGGTATCGACAATCAAGGGTATTTCCCTGTCCCCAGACGACCTGCTTGTCAGTTTTGATGTAGTTTCCTTATTCACCAAGGTTCCTGTACCTGACACCATTGCAATCATTGAAGACTTGGTTCATCAAGGACTAAACACTGAGGTACCCCCCCTGGTGAGACACTGTTTAACCAATACATACTTCACTTGGAATGGAACTTTCTACAAACAAACTGAGGGCACCCCAATGGGCTCCCCCCTTTCTCCAGTTATAGCTAACATTTTCATGAAGAAATTTGAGACTGACGCCATCCAGACTGCCACTCTGCGCCCAACCTTATGGAAGAGGTACGTGGATGACACTTTTGTCATCTGGCCACATGGCCGGCCTGCTCTAGACCAATTCTTCGACCACATCAATTCCATACACCCAGCCATCAGATTTACCATGGAAGTCGAAATAGATGGCAAGATACCTTTTTTGGATGTTCTAATTAAAAAGAGACCTGATGGTTCAATGAGCCACTCTGTCTACAGGAAAGCTACCCATACGGATGCTTATCTGAAACCGGATTCCCACCACCATCCATCACAGAAGAATTCTCTCATCAAGACTCTGTATCATAGAGCCCAATGCATATCCGACCAGGAACACATAAGCAGTGAACTCAAGCACGTACACCAAGCTCTTAGGGCTAATGGTTACTCCGACTATACAATCCGCAAAGCTATCACTCAAACCATGAAGAAGAACCCTCTTGAGGAGCCTTTCAAAACCATCACTTTACCCTACATTGCTGGGATCACAAAAAAGATCTCCAAAATCTTGAATAAACACAAGATCCAGGTCCGTTTCAACACATTACATAAAATCCGTGATCTGGTTCCGTCTGTAAAAGATGTGATTCCGGACATACAATACCCTGGTGTCTACAAACTAAGTTGCCTCTGTGGTAGTAGTTACATTGGAGAAACCAAACGCCATGTCTCGGACCGCATTCGTGAACACAAAGCAGACCTTAAACACGGTAGGACCAACACCTCGGCCGTGGCAGATCATTGTTCTAATTCAGTAGGCTCACATGCCATTGACTTTTCCAAGACAGAGGTTCTTTGTAAGCCATCTGGCTTCCATGAGAGATTCGTTCATGAGGCTATCCACATATACAAGCACAGAGACAATTTCAACCGAGAAGATGGATTCTATCTTAGCAATCATTGGAAAGATTTGATAAACCATTTCGGGTCTTAATTGATTGTTCACGCTTACAGTGGCTTTCAGACAGCATACATTATAAAAAATTTCGTCTCCCCCCTCCTCTTTTCAGAATATAGATGGACTAGTCCTGGGTAAACTGCCAAATCGTTGCGCGTGGCGCTAACGTTTTTTTATTATAAATAAATAAATGCGCCATTTAAAAATAAATGTATGCGAACCAACACACCTGAAGACGACCGTTTGAGTTATGGTCGAAACGTCGTGAGAATTTTTTTTATTGTTTTATATATATTTATTATTTTGTTGTTTCTCTTCAACGTGACTTTACCGAAAAAACTAAGAATATGAGCCGCATGCCGTTCGGGAGCCGCATGTTGCCGACCCCTGATCGACGGCGAGGCGTGGTGGCATCAATGTCATCGGCCGTGACGACCTCGTGACCGCATGACCTTGACCTCGCCAATTCACCATATGTACATAGTGGGGTCAAACGGTCGCGTCCGTGAGACGATTTCCGTGGTACCTGTCCACGGATTGCGAGGTGGCCAGGAGGAGATGGCAACACCAGCAGCGAAATTCTGACATCCATCTGTGTGGCGCTTTGAGCGTTAACCCATTACACATAAGATGTGTTGTTTGCTGGGTTCTCCGGTTTCTTACCGCGTGAAATCAAATGTTCATCAATGGAATCTGGCCAAAGATCCCGGTGCAGCAGGGAGATCAATGCGGTACAGGCGCAGCCCTGCAATTCGTCACTCGCGCCACTGCTGGCGAAAGGGGTCTCCAACCCCGGCAGCGCTTGACAGCGCCTCTAGACGGGATTTTTGGCTTAATATTCCACGTTGTCCAGCCACGTCTCGGAAGAGGTGGGAGTACGTACCCACACTTTATGCCACCGAAACACGCGGATCCGGCCAATTGATCTAACTGTGGTGTTACCCAGAAACACTTGCCGGGTGGGCAATGTGGCAGAGCCCTCTTTAAAACGTCTCCTGAGACTTGGCAAGGCTTTTCTGAATAAAGGACCTTGATACTGTTATTATTATTGTGGTGGTGGTGGTGGCTGGCGCCATTTGACCGCTAGGGTTAGAGTTAGGTGTCCGGTTGTTTATTTTATTTAATACCGGGGGGGACGGCGGGGAGTGGTGGGTCCACCTGCGTGGTGTACCACGCAGCATCGATGTTCACTAATTTTATTTTTGCGTGGGCTGCCTTCTCTTCATCTTCCTCCTCCTTCTCCTCCTCGTCGCGCACACCTCCACAGGGAGGTATTTACACGATGCGTGCCCACTCACTCCCACACACACGCGCGCACGTGTGTGTGTGGGAGTGACAGTTTTACCCGTAATACACGCGGCGTCTGCATCACAGCCGATCGTTAATGATCTCACGCGTGCCGAATCATTCGCAAAAAAAAGCAACATCGATCTCCAACTTGCAAATGAATGCCCATTTGCAAACCGAAGCATCCAGAGAAAAACCACGCGTGCGAGGGGGCAGCACTCTATTCCGTACAGAGGGGGACAGGCGGAGTCCACATTTGTGCTGTACTGCCTTCTCCTGGCGAGCCAGGGTACGGCTCATCCTTCACCTCGACGCCCACGGTTAGAAAGGGAGTTTCACAACGTTTGTGTGCAGTGATCCACCAACCCCCGCTGCTGCCTCTTCACAGGGCAGGATGACAACACCAACAACGTTCACCGCCTCCACCACCACCACCACCGTGGAACCCCGCTGATGAGTCCGGTGACCACAAATCCCCTCCCTCATTCCAGGATGTTTAGCAGAGTACTCCCGGTGGGCTCCGGCGAGGAGGATGACGCCGAGGTGTGCGGCGCTGGGCGCGCCGGTGCCGGGACGCGCCGCGCGGGGGCCGCGGGGGCCGGTGCGTCGCTCGCCGAGACGACCAGGCCCGGCGCGGGCAGCAGGCCCGTCGGACCCACGAACGCGTGCAGGGGGCCCGCGTGCCGCTGCTGCTGCTGCTGCTCGTGGGCCGCCTGTGCGCGGGCGACGCGCTGCTGCGGGCACGTGTCCCTGGGGTCAGGCCGCGCGGCGCACAGCTGCAGCTTGAAGGCCGCTTGGAAGCCGCGGCGGAAATTCTCGTTGAAGTATCCGTACACGATGGGGTTGACGCTGCTGTTGAAGAACGCCAGCCAGTGCGCCACGGGGTACACGTACATGTTGAGGAAGGCCAGGTCCCAGGGCGACAGGTTCGCGTAGTCGACGAGCATCATGACGGTCCACAGCGGCAGCCAGGACAGCATGAAGAGCATGGCGACGATGATGAGCATCTTGATGACCTTGACACGACGGCGCGTCACCCCCGTAGCCTGCCGCCCGTTGGCTCGCTCGGCAGCCTTCTCCCCGTGGCCTCCTCCGTCGTGGCCCTCGTGGTCGTCCCCGCCGCCGCCGCCGCCACGCGACGGGGCCGCGGCCGACGCGGCCGCCGCGGCCGACGCCGAAAGGGAGCAGAGGCGGAACCCAATGCGCGCGTACATGAGCAGTATAAGGGCCAGGGGCGCCAGGTAGACGTTGGCGAACAGCACCGTGGTGTAAGCCTTGCGCATGCGGGGGTCTGGCCAGGCCTCCCAGCACTGGTGGAGCGGGTGGGTGTCGTTGCTGCCGTCGCTGTAGACCATGTAGTGGCCGCGGCTCACCTCGGCCGTGAGCATGAGCGCCGAGGGGCACATGATGGAGAGGGCGAGCGCCCAGATGACGAGGATGGTGAAGAGCGCGTGGGAGATGCGCAGCTTTCGCTTGAACGGGTAGACGATGCAGCGGAACCTGCAAGGGTCGCGCCCGTTACGCACGGCGCGAGGTGCTCGCCACAAATGAACCGCGGCGCCTCGCTGATCTCGTCAGGGAGCGTAAAGCATCACGCGAACTCCGATCATTGTGCAGCAGCAGCAACAGCAGCAACAGCAGCAGCAGCAGCAACAGCAGCAACAGCAGCAACAGCAGCAGCAGCAACAACAGCAGCAGCAGCGGCGGCGGCGGTGGCTTTTGGCTCATCCGTCGAAAAAAAAGACGGCTGTCACCGCATCGCGCGGCGCTTTCAGATGCGCTTCTGCGGCCGTCTGGAACGCTCTCTGCTTCCGATATTATGAAGCCACTGGGGGCTACGCACTTTTAAGTCATCTAGATTGACAAACTCATTTCTCTACAACTGCTTCTTTACGTGTACTTTGTTGTCCTTACCCCGCATCTCTGGTTAACGCGTTTGGCTACGTACAGTGCGAAAGAAGTTCAATTTACATACGACCTGCGAACGGCGTGGTGGTGAGGAGGACGAGGAAGGAGGAGGACGAGGAAGGAAGAGGCGCAAAGAGGAGGTGTGGGGGGTTAACGGGCGCAGAGACGCGCGCGGGCGTGATGACGTGAGGAGGAGGTGGTGTGAGTCGGTGGTGTGAGGTGATGGTGGCGTTAGGGGGAGGTGGTGTGAGTAGGTGGTGTGAGTAGGTGGTGTGAGGAGGAGGAGGGGTGAAATTGTACGAGGAGGTGTAGGGTGGTGTAGAGGGGTGTGAGTAAGAGATCTGAGGTGGTGATGTAAGCGTGAGGTGGTGTGAAGATGGGGATGCGAGGAGGTGGTCTTAGGAAGAGATATAAGAAGGTGGTGGTGGCGGTTTGAGGAGGTGTTCGTGGTGGAGGTGTGAGGAGGAGGAGGATGATGAAGGCGTTGGTTCTGTGAGGTGTTTTGAGGTTTCATCTTGCAACAACGTGTTCATAATTATTATAAAATGAATCATAGCCAGTTGTGAGGAGTGGAGGTGTTCGTGACGGCGCTCACCTGTCCACCGCTATGGCCACCAGGGTGAAGACCGACGCGGACACGGAGGTGCCCTGCACCAGGCCGCTCATTTTACAAACCACGACCCCAAACGGCCACCCTGCGCGGGGTCACGGGGGGGGGGGTCACACAGAGTCACGGGGTCACACAGAGTCACGGGGTCAGAGTCACGGGGTCATACAGAGTCATGGGGGTCATACATAGTTACGGGGTCACACATAGTCACGGGGTCAGAGTCACGGGGTCAGAGTCACGGGGCATCACACAGAGTCACGGGGCCAGAGTCACGGGGTCACACAGAGTCACGGGGTCACACAGAGTCACGGGGTCACACAGAGTCACGGGTTCAGAGTCACGGGGCATCACACAAAGTCACGGGGGTCGTAGCGCAGCGCCCTGCGAACCGCCGTACCACCGCTCCCCACTGGCGCATGTAGTCACGCACTCACGTAGTCACCCACGTAGTCACTCACGTAGTCACTCACATAGTCACTCACGTAGTCACTCACACAGTCACTTACGTAGTCACTCACACAGTCACTCACGTAGTCACTCACGTAGTCACTCACACAGTCACTCACGTAGTCACACACGTAGTCACTCACACAGTCACTCACGTAGTCACTCACGTAGTCACTCACACAGTCACTCACGTAGTCACTCACGTAGTCACTCACACAGTCACTCACGTAGTCACTCACACAGTCACTCACGTAGTCACTCACGTAGTCACTCACACAGTAACTCACGTAGTCACTCACACAGTCACTCACGTAGTCACTCACGTAGTCACTCACACAGTCACTCACGTAGTCACTCACGTAGTCACTCACACAGTCACTCACGTAGTCACACACGTAGTCACTCACACAGTCACTCACACAGTCACTCATGTCGTAACGCACGCACTCACACAGTCACTCACGTAGTCACACACGTAGTCATGCACGCGGTCACTCACGTAGTCACTCACGTAGTCACTCACACAGTCACTCACGTAGTCACTCACGTAGTCACTCACACAGTCACTCACGTAGTCACTCACAAAGTCACTCACGTAGTCGCTCACACAGTCACTCACGTAGTCGCTCACACAGTCACTCACGTAGTCACACAGTCACTCACGTAGTCACTCACACAGTCACTCACGTAGTCACTGACGTAGTCACACACGTAGTCACTCACACAGTCACTCACGTAGTCACTCACATAGTCACTCACTTAGTCACTCACGTAGTCACTCACACAGTCACTCACGTCGTAACAAACGCACTCACACAGTCATGCACGCGGTCACTCACGTAGTCACACACGTAGTCACTCACACAGTCACTCATGTAGTCACTCACGTAGTCACTCACACAGTCACTCACGTAGTCACTCACGTAGTCACTCACACAGTCACTCACGTAGTCACTCACGTAGTCACTCACACAGTCACTCACGTAGTCACCAACGAAGTCACTCACACAGTCACTCACGTAGTCACTCACACAGTCACTCACACAGTCACTCACGTAGTCACACACGTAGTCACTCACACAGTCACTCACGTAGTCACTCACACAGTCACTCACGTAGTCACTCACGAAGTCGCTCACGTAGTCACTCACACAGTCACTCACGTAGTCGCTCACACAGTCACTCACGTAGTCACTCACACAGTCACTCACGTAGTCGCTCACACAGTCACTCACGTAGTCACTCACACAGTCACTCACGTAGTCGCTCACACAGTCACTCACGTAGTCGCTCACACAGTCACTCACGTAGTCACTCACACAGTCACTCACGTCGTAACGCACGCACTCACACAGTCACTCACGTAGTCACACACGTAGTCACCACGTAGTCACTCATGTAGTCACTCCCACAGTCACTCACGTAGTCACTCACACAGTCACTCACGTAGTCACTCACACAGTCACTCACGTAGTCACACGTAGTCACCACGTAGTCACTCACACCGTCACTCACGTCGTAACACACGCACTCATAGTCACTCACGTAGTCACTCACACAGTCACTCACGTAGTCACTCACGTAGTCACTCACACAGTCACTTACGTAGTCACACAGTCACTCACGTAGTCACTCACACAGTCACTCACGTCGTAACGCACGTAGTCACCACGTAGTCACTCACGTAGTCACTCACACAGTCACTCACGTAGTCACTCACACAGTCACTCACGTAGTCACTCACACAGTCACTCACGTAGTCACTCACACAGTCACTCACGTCGTAACGCACGCACTCACACAGTCACTCACGTAGTCACTCACACAGTCACTCACGTAGTCACTCACGTAGTCACTCACACAGTCACTCACGTAGTCACTCACACAGTCACACACGTAGTCACTCACACAGTCACTCACGTAGTCACTCACACAGTCACTCACGTAGTCACTCACACAGTCACACATGTAGTCACTCACGTAGTCACTCACACAGTCACTCACGTAGTCACTCACGTAGTCACTCACACAGTCACTCACGTAGTCACTCACACAGTCACTCACACAGTCACTCACGTAGTCACACACGTAGTCACTCACACAGTCACTCACGTAGTCACTCACACAGTCACACACGTAGTCACTCACGTAGTCACTCACACAGTCACACACGTAGCCACTCACGTAGTCACTCACACAGTCACTCACGTAGTCACTCACGTAGTCACTCACACAGTCACTCACGTAGTCACTCACACAGTCACTCACACAGTCACTCACGTAGTCACACACGTAGTCACTCACACAGTCACTCACGTAGTCACACACGTAGTCACCACGTAGTCACTCACACAGTCACTCACGTAGTCACGTAGTCACTCACACAGTCACTCACGTAGTCACTCACGTAGTCACTCACACAATCACTCACGTAGTCACTCACGTAGTCACTCACACAATCACTCACGTAGTCACACACGTAGTCACACACGTAGTCACTCACACAGTCACTCACGTAGTCACTCACACAGTCACACACGTAGTCACTCACGTAGTCACTCACACAGTCACTCACGTAGTCACTCACGTAGTCACTCACACAATCACTCACGTAGTCACACACGTAGTCGCGTACGCACTCACGTTGTCACTCATGCAACCACGCACTCACACAGTCATGCACGCGGTCACTCACGTAGTCACAGTCACTCACGTAGTCACACACGTAGTCACTCACGTAGTCACACACGTAGTCACTCACGCACTCACTCACGCACTCACGCAGCCACGCACCCGTGATGAGGTTGTCCACCAGCGTGATGGGCATGCAGAAGATGCCGACGAGCAGGTCGCTGACGGCCAGGTTGAGGATGAACAGGTTGGTGACCGTCCGCATACGTCTGCTCTGCAGCACCACGTAGCACACGAGGCCGTTGCCGATCATGCAGAGCAGGAAGATGAAGAGGTAAGCGATGAGGTAGACGGCGGCCGTGGGGGGCGCGTGCTGGTAGAAGGTGTAGAAAGTGGCGTTGGTGGCGCTGAAGGAGGGGGGGAGCTGCCGGTCCCCCTCCGTGCGGTTCGGCGGCTCGAGATGCGCGGGGTCCATGGCTCCACTAGGGGGGGCTCCTGGCGCATCCCCCCCGCGAGCCCATGCGCGACGCTGTGGGGGTGGTAAGTGGGTGGTGGGGAGGGAGGGGGGTGTATAGGGACGACATCATCACGGCCAGGTCAGCAAGGACTGGGATGTGGGGTCAGTGTCACCAGGAAACCCCGACCACGTGTTCGGTAGGAACACAGATGAGGGTCCGGGACCAGGTCCTGTGGGAAGGCGGCAACGCGGAATTGAAGTCAGAATCTTGATGTGGACTGGAGGAATCCGATGAGCTATGAAGCTCTTTTTCACGGATATTTTTTTCTTTCCTCCAGGGAGCCGGGCCAGGTCCGCAGGGGACACGGCGCGGTGAACATTTCCCTTCATCGGCGATGATTGAGATGGCGAGGAGAAAAGGCGATTTTGTTCTGAGCGTTCCCCGCCGCTCAGGGCTTTGAGAATACAACCCCAGCGCGTCGTGAATACGAGTGGCAGAGCGAGTAGTGAATGTGAGAAGTGAATGTGAGTAGTGAATGTGAGTGGCAGAGCGAGTAGTGAATGTGAGTAGTGAATGTGAGTAGTGAATGCGAGTGGCAGAGCGAGTAATGAATGTGAGTAGTGAATGTGAGTAGTGAATGTGAGTGCCAGAGCGAGTAGTGAATGTGAGTAGTGAATGCGAGTGGCAGAGCGAGTCGTGAATGTGAGTATTGAATGTGAGTAGTGAATGTGAGTAGTGAATGTGAGTAGTGAATGCGAGTGGCAGAGCGAGTAGTGAATGTGAGTAGTGAATGTGAGCAGTGAATGCGAGTGGCAGAGCGAGTAGTGAATGTGAGTAGTCAATGTGAGTAGTGAATGTGAGTGGCAGAGCGAGTCGTGAATGTGAGTGGCAGAGCGAGTCGTGAATGTGAGTAGTGAATGCAAGTGGCAGAGCGAGTAGTGAATGTGAGTGAATGTGAGTAGTGAATGTGAGTGGCAGAGCGAGTAGTGAATGTGAGTAGTGATTGTGAGTAGTGAATGTGAGTAGTGAATGTGAGTGGCAGAGCTAGTAGTGAATGTGAGTAGTGAATGTGAGTAGTGAATGTGAGTGGCAGAGCGAGTAGTGAATGTGAGTAGTGATTGTGAGTAGTGAATGTGAGTAGTGAATGTGAGTGGCAGAGCTAGTAGTGAATGTGAGTAGTGAATGTGAGTAGTGAATGTGAGTAGTGAATGCGAGTGGCAGAGCGAGTCGTGATTGTGAGTAGTGAATGTGAGTGGCAGAGCGAGTAGTGAATGTGAGTAGTGAATGTGAGTAGTGAATGCGAGTGGCAGAGCGAGTAGTGAATGTGAGTAGTGAATGTGAGTAGTGAATGTGAGTAGTGAATGTGAGTAGTGAATGTGAGTGGCAGAGCGAGTAGTTAATGTGAGTAGTGAATGTGAGTAGTGAATGCGAGTGGCAGAGCGAGTAGTGAATGTGAGTAGTGAATGTGAGTGGCAGAGCGAGTAGTGAATGTGAGAAGTGAATGTGAGAAGTGAATGTGAGTAGTGAATGTGAGTAGCAGAGCGAGTAGTGAATGTGAGTAGTGAATGTGAGTAGTGAATGCGAGTGGCAAAGCGAGTAGTGAATGTGAGTAGTGAATGCGAGTGGCAGAGCGAGTAGTGAATGTGAGCAGTGAATGTGAGAAGTGAATGTGAGTAGTGAATGTGAGTAGTGAATGTGAGTGGCAGAGCGAGTCGTGAATGTGAGTGGCAGAGCGAGTCGTGAATGTGAGTCGTGAATGTGAGTGGCAGAGCGAGTCGTGAATGTGAATCCTGCACGCACCTGCTGCGCTGGTATCCGACGCTCTCTCTGTCACAGCCGCTGCGCTCTCCTCTCTCCCCAACTCCGTCTCTCGCCCCGACGCGAACCTCCCCATTCACTCATAGCCCGGCTCGGCTCGGCTCACCCCGGCTCAGCTTAGCTCACCCTGGCTCGGCTCGGCTCACCCCGGCTCGGTTAGGCTCACCCCGGCTCGGTTAGGCTCACCCTGACCCGACTCGGCTCACCCCGGCTCGGCTCACCCTCGACTCGGCTCGGCTCGTCCTGGCTCTGCTCGCCCCGGCTTGGCTCGGGTCAGCTCAGCCCGGCTCGGCTCACCCCGGGCTTGGCTCGGCGCGGCTCACCACGACCCTGGCTCGGCACGGCTCGAGCCAGGGTCGTCAGGAGAGAGAGACAGAGAGACAGAGAGAGACAGAGACAGAGGGAGACAGAGAGAGACAGAGAGACAGAGAGAGACAGAGAGAGACAGAGAGAGAGATGGAGAGACAGAGAGACAGAGAGAGAGACAGAGAGACAGAGAGAGACAGAGAGAGACAGAGAGAGACTAAGAGAGACAGAGAGAGACAGAGAGAGAGACAGAGACAGAGAGAGACAGAGACAGAGAGACAGAGAGAGAGACAGAGACAGAGAGAGATAGACAGACAGAGAGACAGAGAGAGACAGAGACAGAGAGATAGACAGAGAGAGATGGAGAGTGCTGCCCGGTCGGTCGGGCGCCGAGTGCAGACTGAGTGAGCGCGACAACACACGTCTGTTTTATACATCCACGAGACAAAGACAAAACCTCCCGTATAACCTTGGCATACTCTTGGGGGCAAGTGCTGTTAGCGAGCACCTATGAAGCCAAACACGGCACACGAGTGGGTGGGTGGCATCACACCCGACCGCCTTTGTCTCCCCAGTGATAATATTTAGACTCCGTACCGGGTACTCATTTGAGGCCGAGTTGACCAATGTATACACACATATGTGTGTACAAAGACAAAGATCTCCCGTATATCCTGAACAGACGTCTGGAGCAAGTGCTGTTTGCGAGCACCTATTAAGGTACAGCGAACAAGCGGGTGGGTGACTAGCACCACACTCGGCCGCCTTTGTCTTCCCAGTGGCGATGTTTACACACGGCACCCGGTATTCATTGGAGGCTGAGTCGACCTAGGGGAGGCCCAGAACTGGTGCAGATAATCGTCACCGGTGTTGGTGGCCGTGAGCGAGAATCGAACTCGGGTCTCCGGGTTCATAGCGCTCCCCAAACAAACACAAAGATCCCCCGTATAGCCTTAACAGACTGTCGGGACAAGTGCTGTTAGCGAGCAGCACCTATGAAGGCCGGAACGGCACACGAGGGGGTGGGTGGCCAGCACCAAGTGCTCGACCGCCTTTGTCTCCCCAGTGGCGATGTTTACTACACACCGCACCAGGCACTCATTTGAGGCTGAGTCGACCTAGGAGAGAAGGCCCAGAACCGGTTCAGACAATCGTCATTGGCGTTGGCCGTGAGTGGGAATCGAACCCGGGTCGCTGGGTTCATAGCGCAGCGCGCTAACCGCTACACTACCGCTCCCCAAACACACAAACAAACACGCAAAAGCAAACACACAAACACACAAACAAGCACACACACAAACACACAAACACACAAACACACACACAAACACACAAACAAACACACACAAACACACAAACACACACACAAACACACACACAAACACACACACAAACACACAAACAAACACGCAAACGCAAACACACAAACACAAACACACAAACAAACACGCAAACACACAAACACACAAACAAACACACAAACACAAAAACAGATACACACACAAACACACAAACAAACACACAAACAAACAAACACATACACAAACACACACAAACAAACACACAAACACAAAAACAGACACAAACAAACACACAAACACACAAACACACAAACAAACACACACAAACACACACACAAACACACACAAACAAACACACACACACAAACACACACCAACACACACCAACACACACAAACACACACCAACACACACCAACACACACAAACACACAAACACACGGGCGCGACTGCTGGAGCCTCCGTTGACCCGAAGAGGGCGCATCTCGACAAGCCATGAGTGGGGTCAGCCTTGGACCCCCCCCCCCCCCCCACTGCAGGGGTGGGGTCAGCTATGGACCCCCCCCCCCCCCCCCCCCCATTGCACGCGCTGCCGCTGCGTCCCGAGCGCTCGCAGATCGCCGCCTTCCAGAAACTGAACGCCACCGCGGGGCTTCCTTGGAGGCCGCTGTTGGCTGAGCCCCTGGATTGTAACGTCGACGTCCGTACAGTGACGGATCTGCGCCTTGCTGCAGAGTGTCTCTCGGTGTGTGTTTGCATGCATGCTGAACTTCTTTCGCACCGCACGTAGTCAACCTGCTCGCTCCATCCACTCGCTCCCCCCCCTCCGCTCCCTCCCCTCGCTCCCTCCCCCCGCTCCCTCCCCTCGCTCCCTCCCCCCGCTCCCCCCGCTCCATCCCCCGCTCCCTCCCCCCGCTCCCTCCCCCCGCTCCCTCCCCTCGCTCCCTCCCCCGCTCCCTCCCCCCGCTCCCTCCCCCTCGCTCCCTCGCTCCCTCCCCCCCCCGCTCCCTCCCCCCCGCTCCCTCCCCCCGCTCGCTCCCTCCCCCACGCTCCCTCCCCCCGCTCCCTCCCCCCGCTCCCTCCCCCTGCTCGCTCCCTCCCCTCGCTCCCTCCCCCCCGCATGAATCTTGATTTGAAGCTTTCGTGACTGCAGGAATCCACACTCTTTGGTTCTTTGCTAAAGTCCACGTGGGTATAAAATAAAATAAATCACCACGTTTCGATCGCAACACAAGCAATCATCGTCCGGTGGGAAAACCACAGTAATAATTTTATTTTGCTGAAGTGGAAGAGAGATGCCGTGGTAAGAGGTTATATAGGTCAGAGAGGGGGGAGGGGCAAGAGGGGAGAGAGATGGGGGGGGGGGGGCTGCTTATTTTATACCTACGTGACTTTACCGAAATAACCAAAGAGTTTACACCCCGCATGAGTTGTCATATCGTCCCACCCACCGTCCCCACTCCCTTTTCAACAAAGGCACGCTCAAAGGTTTCCGACTGAACTCACCGCCCAGTTCACCAGCACTCAACTCACCAATACTAACATTCACCAGGCAGCTCACTAGCAACAGCGCTACCGTGTCGCACACCACCACCACCACCAACCACCATACCACTAGCAGCACCACCACCACCAAACCACCAGCACCACCACCACCACCCGAAGCAATAATCGTGGCTCTTTAATATTTAAAATCCATTACCGCTGTCGTCACAGCGAAGCCCATCTTGGGGGCAACACGGCCCCGTGGCATGAGTAGTCATAATAATAATAACAGCATTCAAAATAACATTACCCTTCCTTCATCCGGGATACATTTCATGGAATATTTTCCGTACCCCTCCCCACCCCCCAAGCGTAGGTCCATCGGTTCCAATTACATGCCAACGTTAGCCCATCGTTCGACTAACGTTGGTTCAATGGTTTCAACCACATGCCAACGTTAGCCCATCGTTCGACTAACGTTGGTTCAATGGTTTCAACCACATGCCAACGTTAGCCCAACGTTCGACTAACGTTGGTTCAATGGTTTCAACCACATGCCAACATTAGCCCAACGTTCGACTAACGTTGGTTCAATGGTTTCAACCACATGCCAACGTTAGCCCAACGTTCGACTAACGTTGGTTCAATGGTTTCAACCACATGCCAACGTTAAGCCAAACGTTCGACTAACGTTGGTTCAATGGTTTCAACCACATGCCAACGTTAAGCCCAACGTTCGACTAACGTTGGTTCAATGGTTTCAACCACATGCCAACGTTAGCCCAACGTTCGACTAACGTTGGTTCAATGGTTTCAACCACATGCCAACGTTAGCCCAACGTTCGACTAACGTTGGTTCAATGGTTTCAACCACATGCCAACGTTAAGCCAAACGTTCGACTAACGTTGGTTCAATGGTTTCAACCACATGCCAACGTTAAGCCCAACGTTCGACTAACGTTGGTTCAGTGGTTTCAACCACATGACAACGTTAGCCCAACGTTGGCTCAACGTTGCATGTTTACTGGAACTCCCTCTCCACCAACACCACCACCACCGACCACCACGCTCCACACCCGCTCCGTGGGCTCCCCAGCCTGGCCGCATCTTATCGCAAAACTTCTACACGGGAGAGAGAGAGGTGGGGTGGTGGAGTCTTATCTCTCTGCGGGGCTTCCAACCCTCGGGTCCCCCATCGCTTCGCTATTGTTCGTGTCTGACCCCCATCTTTTCAGCGCAATATCCCTCGGGAGGGTTCATCTGTTACAAGCACGAACATCAATCGTTTCATCATGACCCAGGGCAATGGTGGAGCCAGGATTTTCAGGTGTGGGGGTGGGGGGGGCAACCCCTCCAGCAATTAAAAATGATAGAGGAGTTGTTTAGTAAGTAAGGACTTGACCCTTGCTTGTTACTCGACGCGTGTGCGGCGATGGCGCAGCCATCGATCGAGGGTCGAATTCGAACCGCGTTGTGTGATCGGCAACTCGCTCGCTGAAGGTGAATGCCTTCAGGGAAGTCGTGTACTGTCTACGCAACTGCGCACAATTCTGAGTCACTTATAACTGCTTTGCCGTTACTTATTGCCAATTATGGACTCAGACTATTGTCCTATCATCTCATATAGTCCCTGGCACGTAATAATTTGCTACACAATGGCAGTGGGGGTCGCAAGATCCCGATTTATTACTAATAAACCACAATGATCCGATCGAAATTAGGGATTTCGATCGGATCATTGGGGGGAGCACGTGCCACCCCACCCCCCCCCCCCACTGGCTTTGCCAGTGACCCAGAGCGACGCGTGGCGGCATGGATACCGTGCAGGGGAGATGCAGAACGTCTGCTCCACGTTACGGTGACAGCACACATTAATACACCACGTGAAACGCGCGCCTTACAGAAAGCACACTCGTACACACCGTGAACCAATTGCCGTACTAACACGGCATTGCCTGGAGGAGTGGACACTTGCTTTTTCTGTGTATTGTGGTCTTAGTATAACTTGGGGGGTGTTGGGGGGTGTTGGGGGCAGTGGTCTCGATTGGGTGGGGGGGGCATCAGTCCCAAAACAATCTTGAGAACCACCGCCGCAGACTCAGTGTTGGCGGCTGTAGACCCTGAGTCCATCCGCCAAAAACACATCCTCTTATCTGTACCACGCAGGGCGGTGAATATTCACATCGATTTGTTTTTATGGAACAGTTTTTATCTGCAAAATCTCCGAGTGTGTGATAGCACTTGTACAGAGCAATGTAATTACGCGGGGGCACTGGGGAACGTTCAAGAGCGAATATCGGTTGGGGGGGGGGAGGGGGTGGAGACTAAAACTAATTTTATAGAGAACATTGAAACG